CCCCAGTGACAGCTCCTGTACCTTTATTTCTGAGAGTGTGTATGGATGGACAACTTGATGAATGAATGGATGAACAAAGGAATAGATAGCAAGAGGGTCTGTTGGATGAACAAACAGACAGCAAAAACATTAAATGGATGTATGGATGGACAGACACACAGATGTTGAAATGGATAGAAAGAGGGATAAATGTATACATTGATAGATGAAGGATTGGTGAACGGATAGATAGAGAGTTGTATGGATAGTTGGATTTACAGACATCAAGAGTCAGATAGAAAGATGAATAATGAAAGAACAGATGGATAGGCGGACAAACAGCAAGCATCAAATAGATGGATGAACGTCAACAAATAAATAAGGGAACAGACAGATAGACAGACAGAGAGACAGACAGAGAGACAGACAGACAGACAGACAGACAGACAGACAGACAGATAGATAGATAGATAGATAGATAGATAGATAGATAGATAGATAGATAGATAGATAGATAGATAGATAGATAGATAGATAGATAGATAGATAGATAGATAGATCTCTAAAAGTTTTCTCTAAAAGTATGCAGAAATCTCTAAAAGTATTCTTTAAAAGTGTGTAGCAGTTTGTATTCTCTAAGAGTGTGCAGCAAGCATGTCAACTAAAGATACTGTTATAGGTATTCAGGAGAATGAGTGAAATATTATAAAATTATTGTACCAGCATGACAATATATGAAGATACTCAGAGCAAGTTATTGACAACTATGGGGAGATTCATTTGCATTGCAGAGAGTGTAGAGCCTAGAATAACAGGACCACCTGAACATATACTTGACCTTTCAGTAAAGACTTTCTAAGATAGTCACAGGTATACAAAGGTGGGGATAAAAATATGTGTAAAAGCAGGACCATATACACACAATTCAAATGGTCCAGGGGAGACTTCCAGTTGTCCTGAAGTGCTGTTTTCAGACATCTCGGCTTTTTTATAGTCAATAAAGTCTATTTTCTGGTATTCAAAATCTCTAGTCTGATTGTAGTTACAGTTTTTCTCAGTCGCTTTGGTGCATTTCTCACAACACTATTTACATTTGCATAACAGTTAAGGCATGAATGGAAAGACCGGGTAAGTATTTATGATAGATAGATAGACAAACAGACAGACAGATAGTGAGCAACTACGATCTCTACAAGCAACTACAATCCATTCATCCTTCAATCATTTAATCCAAACCAAACAACCCACAAGGTCATATAATCAGATAAAAATAATTATGGGTTCATAGATCCATAAGCTTTACAGCAGTTTCAATAACTGTATAATTTGGTGCTGTATATAACGTGCTATCATCAATACTGCATGTCCTTAAGAGTGCAAGGACAGCCTGAGGCGGTACATTCTCTCCTTTCACCCCAGAACTAATCCAGTATTCCAGGAAAGTCTGTACTTGACAAAATACATGCATGAAATACATGCAGACACAAGCAGGCTTTTTGCAAACTGACAAACAAACTTTATCTAGACTCACTTGATTGAAAACACAAAAGAAGCTGACAAAGGCCAACATTCAAGACACAAACCTCTACATTTAAAAAAAAATCCAAAGGACATGCAAATAACATGCACAAATAAAAATCTAAATAAAATAATAAACACATCAGAGCAGCAGTCTTAGCTGACTCAGTATACCAGATCTTATGAGTCACCAGTGTGTAGGAAGCCTCACGATTTAACGTCACATGACCACAAATGCTAACACACAAACACAGTCACATGCAGCTGATGGTAATACACTCTGTGACAGATTCAGGAAGGACTATGAATGTCCTCTCGAAAGTATTCACAAATAAACGGGAAGGCAATTCTTACATAGAAAGATCCTCATAAGTATTTGTTCCTCTTAAATCCCGTCCCATTTCGACCTATGTCCAGCTTTGTAGTCCTCGACCAACTAAGAACTCCGGCTTCCAGACCACTTTGGAGCAGGAAACAAGAGTAGAGAAAGACAAAAAAAAAAAGATGAACTGACAGCCTAAGAGCCCGGTAGAAAGAGAGAGAGATGTGGGAGGGAAAAGAAGTGTTGGTTTTTTTGGTTGACTGGAGAAAAGGGCAAGTTGATTATGTTTCCGTAAGTGGAATTTTAAATGAGAGGGAAACTTTCCATTAACGCCAGTAACAAAATGCAATTAATTTCAAATGAGGCCCTCGGGCTTGTGGAGCACTAATGATTCAGAAAGAGTCCACGGGAACGACAGAGACTCCACCATCCTGTAAATGGCAATAGCAAGCAAGGATTTCCAATAAAAGGCATTAGTTAGCATAACGTCCCCAAAGGCACTGATGTGGAAGGTATCTTTAGTTGGTCACAGTGGGGTTGCTGCTTCTGAGGAGTGTAGAACAAAAGAATACTCTGATAGAATAAACAAACAAATGCATACACTCAGGCGGAGATGTGCTAGACACATGTCTTCTACTGAGGCGAATCACTGACAACCGTGTTTTATGAATGACAATGAATAAGGAGCTGCTTATGAATGCCAATGAGAAGATGAAATATGAATTTAATACATGAGTCACATTCAGCTCTTCAAATCTTTCTTTCACAAATGGAAAGCTTTTACTGCGCTTTGCCAGGCATTCATGTTACCTTCAAATAAAGGCATCTTAAGAGGAGTCCTTACCGAAAATGTCCTTCAAACCTAAAGACTGAATGTCTGGATAAACATCCTTGCTGGTCCTTGAAACTGAAGTACATTTTTTTAAACTAATAATTTTTTTAAGGGGGCAGCATAGTGGCTCAGTGGTTAGCACTGTCGCCTTACAGTAAGAAGGTCATTGGTTGAAGCTGGTTTGTCCAGTTTGTCCAGTTAGCTCACCATGTACGTCTCTGGACTTAAGATGCAGAGTTGACCATGACAACGGGGTTCGAGTTTGGTGAAGAATGGTTCCAGAAAGCAGGTACACTCTGAGAAATAAAGGTACACGAGCTGTCACTAGGGTGGTACATTTTTAAAAGGTACACATTTGTACTTAAAGGGTCCATATTGGTACTTTAAATGTATATATTAGTGCCTAAAAATGTAAGAGGAACACTTTTGTACTTTTTAGATACTAATATGTTCCTTTGAGGTATTAATATGAACCTTTTACTGTAGGTAAAATTTTGTAGCTTTTGAAAAGGTACCACCCCAGTGACAGCTCGTATATCTTTATTTCTGATAGTGTAGGACAAAAACAGAATCCAAAAAATAAAATAAAAAAGTAAATAAAAGGATGAGAATGTGATAAAATCTGATAAGGCGAGGACTTTTCTTTTTCTGGATTGCTTTTTTAAACTGCAGGTTGGGTTTAGGGAAGTTGATGGGCGAGTCAATCAGTGCTTTTGAAAACACTATTGGTTGGGTTTACGGAAGGTGGAGGGTTGGTCAGTCGGTCGGTTAGTCAGTCAGTTAGTCATTCAGTCATGACTGGATTTACGGGAGAAGGGCAACCACGAATGGCACTCATGAGAGAATTTTCAGATCTCAAAAAGCATACACAGCGGCCTCTGGTGGATTTCATGAAAACAAAAAATGCAAATAAATGTAGCTCCTGGGATGTATTTCACTCTTTACAGAAATGTATATAGAGGTACATTTTCAGAGCCTAGACTGTAAATTGGCCTTAGTCTATGTGTGTGTGCGTGTGAATGTGATTGCGTACGGGTGTTTCCCCGTACTGGGTTGAGGCTGGAAGGGCATCTGCTGCGTGAAACATGCTGGAATACTTGGCGCTTCATTCTGCTGTGGTGACCCCTGATGAATAAGGGACTAAGCAAAGGGAAAATAAATGAATGAGTTTTTTTTTTCAAGGTTTTGTTTTAGGCTTAGGTTTGGCATTAGGGGTTTGAAAGTCATACTTATCAGCATATTTATTATGCTGGGGGCAGGGGGAAGTTGTGACCTAACAACTAGCACCAATGACACCCAACTGTATTGTTGCCTCGCATTGGCTCACATCTGGACCAAAAAGCTGTGCGTTAACACACCAAACAGACGAAAGTCAACTAAAATTGTTTGTTAAAATGGTCAAATGATTATTTATTTATTTATTTGTTTGTTTATTTATTTGTTTGTTTATTTGTTTATTTTACCTAAATCTTGGATGACCTAAAGGTATTAGCATATTATATTAATCTTTTTTTTGTGACGCATACCCTAACCTAACATAACCTAGTTAATATCTAATATGTCTGCTTAATTTATTTGCTTCAAAGTAAGGTTTAGTTGCCATACACTGTAAAACCCAAAAAGTTAAGACAGCTCAAATCATTTGAGGAAACCGATTGCAACAAATCAATTAAGTTCAAAAACTAATCCTGATTAGTACTGTGAACTTAATCCATTTGAGTATACGATGCAGTTTGAGCACAGTAAAACCCAATAAATGAAGAGAACACAAACCAACTGAGTACTGTAAAACCCAATAAGTTAAGGCAACTCAAACCGTTTGAGGAAACCGATTGCAACAAACCATTTGAGTTAAAAAGCTAATCTGTATGAGTACTGTGAACTTCATTTAAGTTGAAGTTATGATTATTAAGGGTATTTAATTAACTCATTAACTTCAACACTGAGTTCAAAACTCTTTTTAAATGAGTAAAATTAACTTTTAGTCAATTTTGAGTTAACTGCACTCATTTCATTTGATAAAGTTGACTGTTGGGTTTTATAGTCTAGTAATATGAATGGTGTTTACCTTAATCTAATGGTTTGAGTTCTATTGTCCACATTTCCATATGTCATACTGTCATAAGGGCGTAGAAAACATCTAGAATAGCACTAATAATGAATGCTATGTCCCTGGTAGGATTAGGGTGATGCATGTTTGAAAGCAGTATTTCTCTTGGCCTAACAGCAGATCTGTATCCATGTCTTCACATTGTGTATCTCAGACTGTCATCTTCCAAACCTACCACCAGCTTAAACCTCATTAAGATGCTGTAATCAAGTTAGGATCATCAAAAACAGCTTCCTCACCGGCATCTGATATGTCCCTCCATTTCCCCCCGCGGCATCACTTCAGTGCAGTGATCAGCAAAGGGACAAGACACCATCAGTTTATCCAGCAATTTGTGCACCAGAAGGCTGGACTTTCGGCACTTCTGCAGCATCAAAGGAGTGCGATCCACCGGGCAGAAGTCGCTCTCCAGCAGAAAGTTTGTCAAACACTCCTGGCAGTAGGTGTGCCCACATGGGGTGTCCAGCGGCCGGATCAGGGGCTGGAGGCAGATGTGGCACATGAGGTCATCATCCACGTCCTCTTTGTAGGTATATTCGTGGTTCTCCTCCTGTAGGTGGCGTTGTCCACAGATGTGGCAGAGATCAGGAGGAGGGGCGGTGGGAGTGACTCCTGTTGCCCCGCAAACAGGCATCGCCACAGCGCCCGCCTCTTCTTGATCACTCATTGTGCAATGGCAGATATGGTGTCGTAGGATGAAATGTTTTCCCGAGGGCTTTGTTGTGTCAGGTTGCGTTTTGAGCCATCCACCTGCACATAAAACAAGAAAGGAACCGTCATTTATGGCAAATAGGTGTGTCCACATGATATTCTTGTTGGCTGTGTTTGCTAGAAAGGCAGGTCGCACACACCCAAAGACACTGTTAAGCAAAAATAGAACCACATTTCTTTTTTTTTTTACTTCATGGATGGATATTAATCTGATTCAAAACTCATTTTATATTAAACTCGTTATAAATAAAATAAATTGCACATGAGATCTTTAACAAACACAGTTTGGAGAGAAATATAGAACAGTCTTGTCATAATTATCAGTTGTACAATTGGAGATTTGTTATAGTGTTATAAGAAATCTGTTACATTTCTATAATCCACAATTGGCAGCTTTGGTTGGCATAACTTAATAGAGGCCACCCAAGCAAACCCAGAATAAAGAGGGCGGCGTCCACGACATCACCCGATCCTCACTCTCATCTGCAACTTCCCCCCACCAACCGGTCCTTGCTGTTGTAAGCGCAATCATACCACCGTCTCTCGTTTTCACTTTCGATTTGAGGGCGTCATGATCATTGTTTGCCTAGAGCGCCAATTCAGCTGGTATAGCAACATATGAGGTTCTATTTATTTTTCTTAAATTACGTTCTCTAATACAATGTTAATATATCAACCTATCGAAGCATCTATTAATATTTGTTTTATAATCTTGTAATACACTTATTGACAACCACCAAAACCTGGTGATATCCAAGTCACATGTTGAATGAGAGATCATCACAAAATGCTTTTTCACAAGCTGAGAATATTTATTCTAATGATACACAATGTGCCCTTCACACAAATGCTAACCACCAGTATGGTAGCACACAACACTGCAGTAATGCAGTTAACATTAATTTACAATTGTTTAACCTAAAACACCACTGCACTGTAAAATGTGTTACTGTTCTTTCATTTTAATCAGTCCCACTTTATATTAGGTGGCCTTAACTAATATTAAATTGAAATTAATAATTTCTTACAATGTGTTTATAGCATAAATAGATGTTTTTACATTGTACTTATGGTTGATTAAATACCTGTGTGCAATTATATCTGTAATTAATTTCTGTAACTACATTTTTGTTTACACTGTTGACCATCCTCTACACCTTAACCCCTTAATAACCTCAACCTACTTATTTTTGAGGTCTCTCTGTTTTCTTAACCTACATATTTTTGAGGTCTCCCTGTTTGATTGTTGCATTACCTCTGTTGTAGTTATATCATTAGGATTGTAACAAGAAATCAACAGCGGTCTACTTAAATATTTTAACACCTTAAATGCTACATGGTTTGAGTGAAACTTTTAGAAGGAGAGTCACATGTATGCGAAACAAATATCTTGCGAAGGAAATTTCAGAGGATAGAGTCAAAAAAAATGCTACAAACAATATTGCTTTTACATGAATTAAGCAAATTTGACTTAAAGGGACAGTTCACCTATAATTTACAATTTTATCACTCTTTACTCACTCTCGAGTGGTTACAAACCTTTATGAGTTTCTGTTAAATATAAAAGCAGATATTTTGAAGAAAGCTGACTTCTATAGTAGAAAAACAAATACCATGGAAATCAATGGTTTCCAGCTTTCTTCAAAACACAATTCATTCATGTTGTCCCAACACAAATCAATTAAGTCAAATTAACACTTTTAACAAATTTATGTGGATTGAACATAAAAAAATATGCTTTCCCAATAAAATCTCAAGATTTCTGTTGTTTTTAATTAAGTAGTTTTAACAAGTAAAAAAATATATACATTTTTGAGTGCATGGAGTTCAACAGAAGAAAAAACTCAAAGTTGACACAAGTCAAGAGTAAGTAAATGATGGCAGAATTTAAATTGGGTGAACTATCCCTTTAATGTCTGTGTGCAAAAAATTGCCAAAGAAATGTTAAGTAAATCTACTTTTATTATTCTTAAAATTAAATACTTTTATTTTTAACTGGTTAGTGATTCACATTTTTTTCTGAATACTTCTAAAAGCTTAACTGTTGAAGTTTAGCAATTGTTTCTGAACTAGAATGTTGTTCAAATCAGTCTATTGTGAGCCTGCAGCACCATAGCTGCTGTAATGTAACCCTTTTCGCACGTGAGACTACATGTGTAATATTGTTACAGCCATAAAATCTTGTCTGGAGTCTCTCACTGATAACAGTCTCTCCACTGAACACAGATACACTTTGTCAGTCTTTCTGTTTTCAGTGTATATATGGCCAATAAATATGGATTTTCTGATGTCACCCACTGTTGATCAGAGGAGGAAACCCTTGCTCTGCAGGTGAATGCATGAGAATAGCTTTATTGTCTGCCTCTCTGTAATCTGATCTGAGCTTAACCAGAACTATATAAGGGCGCACACACACACATACACACACAAACACACACACATACACACACACACTCCCACCCATAAAGGAGTGTGCCCAAGGACAGAGATATACCTGGAACCCTGCGTTCTCCGTAAATCATCATCTCTTTAATGATCCTTCAAAGTGATGATGTGACTCGAGTATGTGCGTTACATCACACACACACACACACACACACACACTCACACATACACACACATGCAATAATTACTTTTACCCCATGGCTCTTATTGAATTGGAATTTTCCATTTTCTTGTCTTCCGACATTCAAAGGCACTTCTGCTGAAAAATCCATTGTTCTAAACAAACAGAATGACAAGTCTTTATAGCTGCTTGTTTCATTTCGCTCTGTCATATTTCTCTCATATTCTCTCAAGGAAAGTTATATTGTTTCTCTGGTGACTTTTGGCCCAGAGAAAAACAGACTTTCAATGACATTCAACTACAAAAAACTACACACAGACAGTGTTTAATGACTAAAAATGATTCAAATAACCTTTAATAATTGGCTTTATGGAAGTAACACACACACACACACACACACAACCAACATAATGTGTGTTAATCGTTCAATCATGTGTTAGTGTTACGCCTAATCAGCCTTTTCTTTAATAGCTTCGGTTAAAAATTGTCTTGTGTACTCGTGTTGTGTGTCAGCAGTTTTTGTATCACTCAGCACAGACAAACACCTACTTTCCCATCACGCAAAAACTGCACAATAATGCACCGCTGAAGGAATGAATGCAAACGCAATCACAAAGTAGGGTCCAAAAGTCTGAGACCACTGGTGAATATGCTCCTACATGGCATTCATCTTGATCTTTCTGATATAATAGAGTGGAAAGACATGTTTTACAAAGGCACAAAATTGAGAAAAAGACGGCAGGGTGGATCTCTGGCTTTCAGTCTCACTGTGAGGATCTGTGTTTGACTTCACTATGCTTTGTTCAGACATGTTTTATAAAAGAACATTCCACAGCGTGCCTGAATTAAAGTCTGAACCAAGAATTAAGAGTTATAGAACATTTAGACATTAAATTAAATGTGTTTGTTTGATTTTGACACTTTAAAAGTATTTGTTTGTACCCAAATATATTACCAAACCCAATAGCTGGGTTGAATTTGCATTATTTAGACCCAATAGTTGCAGCCTAATCTCACGAGAAAACGTAAGTATTTTACATTTTGCTAGATTAGTGGCTACTTCGTACAAATTCGTACGAGTTCAGTCCCCTAAACCCAACCGTCATTGGGGGATGAGCAAATCGTACTAAATTGTATGAATTAGATTGTATGAATAAATACGAATTAGCCACTAAATCAAAAGGTTACGAATTGCAGTGAGATTGTGTTGATAGTTGGGATTGCCTTTAGGTTAAAGCTGCCACAACATTATATTATATTCAGCAGTGCATTATTGTGCACTTTTTGGGTGATGGGAAAGTAGGTGTTTGTCTGTGCTGAGTGATACAAAAACTGCTGACACACAACACAAGTACACAAGACAATTTTTAACCGAAGCTATTAAAGAAAAGGCTGATTAGGCGTATTTAGAGTTTAATATATGTATTAATTAAAATTAATAATATCAGAAACGTACAATGAATTAAAGCTGCTTATTTTTGAAATGTACACAAAACTCATTTAAAATTATCATTTATAATGTACTTATAAAATATAGTAAATAATAAAGGAAATATGTCAAGAAAATATGACTATTATCATTTATGTTTCTAAACATATATTAAAGAAAAGTATTACATAATCCTTTTGGCTAACAGGGTTGAATGGTTGAGTTATAGACTCTAACAAGCAGCCTCGAGGCTCCCTTTTGATTAAACATTCAACTGTTGAATCTTACAGCTAATGAATAATGCAGAACTATATAGTGATTAATGCACATATGATGACTATTCAATGGAAATTATGCATATTAACGAGCATAACTGCACACAAAAAATTTCACTCGCAAAGAGATGACAAAGGAGGTTGTTATGGGTGAGTAGTTATACGATGAAAGTAAGTCGAAAAAATCATAATATATCTGTCAACAAGCTACATGTTTTGTGGTACTGTACAGTATGTAGGAAAGGAATGTGAGAACTTCATACCAAAGAGTCTTCCAGCAGCCCATGAGGAGAGTTACACAAGTACTCATATGTAAATGTATATCACTCGCCCCCCACCCTATGCTTTTCTGCATGCCTTCATCTTCTTTCATCTTCCTCTGCAACCTACTTCTCTTCCATCATGTTTTCAATCTGCTCCTATAGGCTCTTGACTAAAGCTATACTCTATCTGACTGCATCTATGCCTGATTTATTTATCATGTCATCCTTGTTACAGTGTAATATCCAGTACATTTAAGTACTGAGTAGTAATAATTAACAGCATGTACCTTATATAGAGTTAAGATTGGGTTAGTTTAAATAACTGAATTTTTAACAGTAGAAGGCCATGTGTTGAGTACAATACAAAATGAAATATGTTACAAAAATATAGTGATTAACTACTTATATGTTATATTAGTTATCTCACACACACACACACACATATATATATATATATATATATATATATATATATATATGTGTGTATATATGTACATTATATGGTTATAAAATATTTACAGGCAAATGACCCTTCTGTAAAATTGTTATTATTTTTTTCATATTTCCATACTATCAAACAAAAGTTTTAATAGTTTTTTAATAACTCATTTTTTTGGTCTTGTCAGTTCAAAATATTTTACTATAACACTGGAATTCAGCATGAAGGGCATTTTAAAGGCTTAACTAGGTTATTTAGGTTTATTAGGCAAATCTTTTTTTAAATGATTGGCCCGCAGTTGTTTGTTTTGTAGTCCTCTCAAAAAAACCTTCAGGGGGTTTATAATTTTAAACTTAAGATAAATTTTTTTTAACAGTTTAAATTAGTAAATGTATTTACTAACATGTGCAAACTAACATTAGTTAATGTTGTTTAGGTTAAATAACGTTAAGTTCATGTTAACAGTATACAGTGCTCAACTTAATTGAGCAGACCCATAGTTGAGTATCATTTTGAAAATAATTTTTTTTCCATTTCTCAGTGAATCAATGTATTTTGGTGCATTTGATCAAAACAGATGTATTAAACAAATATATTGATTAAAATAATATTTTAATCACCAAAAACTTTTCGACATTGAAAGATAATGCAATTACTTTCAAGCAAAATATTGAAAACTAAACTACAACCTACAAAATTTAAAATAAAATTTTCCATTTTTTTTTTTTGCTTCTCTTGATTTTTCCCTTATTTTAAATTTTTATTTAATATTTTTCTCGAACATAAATTTGGGTGTACTCGTTTTTTGAACCTTTATTGTAAGTCATTTTGTTAGATGAGCTCCAGATGTGGCTGCAGTACTGACTAATCTAATGTATATGCACAAACATAATATTATAAAGCTTCCTATTATAAATATGAATTTAAAAGATAGATTTGTGAGAGGCCTACTTATATATGATGAGCATGGTATATATATATATATATATATATATATATATATATATATATATATATATATATATATATATGGTATATACATTTTCAACAAATAAATGTTTATAAGTTAATACATAAATAAGCATTTTGTGTTTCCCCCTGTCTGTACAATTATATTTAACTCTCACAAGCAATAATATGCATATAATATAACGATAAACGTAAAACTGAAACAATCACAGAAAAGACTTATTAAACCATAAGTTATACCATATATAGTAAAACAAACAAACAAACAAGAAAAAAAGAAACAATAAAGATATGTCTCAAAAGTGAGAGTAATTTCTCTACACTTTCAACACACACACACACACACACACACACACACACACACACACACTGACAAGTGGCATGCTGTTGGTTTTCCCAACTAACACCTGTTGGTAAAAATTGCTGACATATTCTAAACAAAAGAAAAATGATGACTCTGATCAATCTGATCTAAAGGTGTTTACACTTCAAATAAATGAACATTAACCCAGACACACACACACACACACACACACACACACACACACACACACACACACATTATGACATCAAAGGTTTCATGTTTCTTTCACACAAAGAAAGTCAACAAGAGTCACCAAGAATCTAACAAAAAAGTCTCAGGTGAAAGTAACCAAACAAAAAAGTTCATCAAACAACAAAGTCTGTCTTGGGTGAAAGTAGCCAGCAGAAAGTACTGAGTAAATAAGCTGGTGTAGTTATCCTGCTTACCTGAACAGGTAATCCAATCGCTCCGGCAGAGGTAAAGCGAGAAGGGGAATGAGAGAAAGTAAAAGGAAAAATGAGAGGACTTTGTCCCTGCGTTGTCCCACAAGTTAAAAATTTGCCTGATTTCTGGACTCTGGTAAGCTGTGTAAGTTGTCCTGGTGGTCTTCAGGTGAATATTTGAGTCCAGGGCCCCCCGGCCATCCTATCCTGCTCCGGGACGCCAGATCCTGACGCACACTTCAGCACACCTTATACAGGAAGTCAAAGGAAGAGGAGGCGCACAGTAAAAACGGTAGGCAGGTAAACATGAGAACTGACCCAACCTGCTCTGGTGGAGCCGCAACTGCTTTACACACACACACACACACACACACACACACACACACACACACACACACACACACACACACACACACACACACACACACACACACACACACACACACACACTGTTTAACTGTGAGAAAAGTACATAGCAGTTTTTAAACATTATAGTATACAGTATAAATAAATGTTTGATTATGTGCACAATACACAATACTAACACTTTACAATGTGTCTTCTGATAACAAGGAAATGCATTACACAAACAGTGTTTTTTTTTTCAGCATTTATTGACCTTTGTTAATGTTTGTTAAAAATAATTCTCATGTTAGTGGATGCTGATTTAATCCACGTTAACAAATGGACTTCTTACATTGTGCTAAACACTGTGTTGTTGTGTTCTTAAGTCAAACTTTTAACCACATAACACTGTGGTTTAGGATTTGGATATTGGACATTATTAGTTAACCAAAGTTTATTAAAGCCACTTAATACATTATTAGCACTGGTTTTTAATGCAGAGTCATGCAGTCCTTCTCTGGGTCAGGGTTAGCATTGTATTTAGCAGCATTAATAACATACTGCATTGTTAGAAAGTTAGCAATCCTATATTTGTGTGATTTTGACGAGCTAGTTTTTTAAAACTGTGTTTGGAGGTTCAAGGGAATGTTTTGAGAAAAAGCATAAAAATATAATACTTACAGGTGATGATATAATAGTTCAATAAATTATATAGAACTTCAGAGAAAGTAATCTTTAATCTGACCCATTTCTAAATTTTCTCATTTTAAGCAGTATAAATTAGGTCTCATTATACTAGAAACTTTAGGGTTATGAGTCAATGTGTAGTGTGAAGGAGAAAGACAAGGTGAGAATCCAAACGCAGTATTAAACATACATTTATTAAACAAAACTAGAACAAACTAGGGAACACACGGCTATCATGGCATCAACAGCATACAACCAACAACTAGAGGGGTAATAAACCGATACATATACTTCTAGTCATCAATAGTGATGAACTGCAGCTGCATGTGTGATTTCAGACAAACAGGAACCGGTGTGTGAGTGGTGCATGACAGTATATGTAGTCCATATGACTGCAGATTTGTAGCTCATTAGCGATCCACAGGCGTTGGATAATCATAACATTTAAATGCATTTTAAATGTAATTTTGTACAAGGATGACCACAACTGGTAGTATTTGGCATCTAAAAAATGAAGACCCTAGCTTTAGACAGAATCATGGCTTTTTTTTTTTTTTTACAGTATATATAAACCCTCATGTCAGCATTTGAGTAGAAATTTTCAAATAATAATGCCAAAAGTGCATAATTTAAGTGAAGACAGGTTTTTAAGTTATTTAAGTTTAAATCTTACCTCTATAGTTCAAAAAGTCCATTCAGGAAAAAGCTAACAGCAGTCAGCAAAGCAAAATACAGATGCACAATGCTAACATTTGTGTAAACAGCTTGTGTCCTGGTTTATCCAATTAATGACACTGACACTACAAATACACAAACAAGGATTTTAACCCAGTGTTTGTACAATGCACCTTATAAATACCAAGGTCTAACTGCTAACTTGTGTTAAATTATGAGCATTATGGAACATAGCCAGGGTTTAAAATGACAAATAAAATCGAATAGTGTACAGCAACAATCAAATCGGTCAAATGTAGATTTTTAATGGATAGAAAGTACTGTGAATGCTCATAGGCCTTTGCACTCACACAAAACCACATGCAAAATCACTGGCTGCTCTTGGCAAGTTGTGACATGCCCAGAGAAATCCACATACAAAACCCTGAACAAAGTGCATTAAGAACCCGAAACACTTTGCTAAAGCTGGTTTTCACTATTCAGAGACCAACACCCATCCAACGACATCTGACTGAGGAAATCAGCAGATAAATTGGCAGGTTTTTTTTTGAAGATTTGGTTAGGATCTTTGAGTGGATGAGGGTTACCTGAAAATGACTGTAGACTGTAGATATTTGTCTATACTTGTTGTGGATTAAATTTCTTAAGAAAAGAGTGTGTCATGATAATTGTGTGCGTATGAGAGTATGAGTCATTAATTACAAGAGATTGGGGTTTTAACAGCTCATCTTCGGTAAAGTGCTCTCACTTCCTGAGAAAAATGGGTGGGATGTTTGTAAAAAAAAATTTTAAATGAAAAAACAAATTATTTGAGGGTTATTTCTAGGCTAAAACATCTTCAATGCCCAGGATTGTCATCAGCTGCCTTTGGTGTTTAAATAAAAGTTTTTGTAATAATTCACACACAAATTCAAGATTTATTCTTCATAATTATAAATATGTGGAATAATTTTATTTAGTTTTTTTTACTCTATTTAGGGATACTCCAATCATTTGGCCAAATATCGTGACTGACATTTAATCACTAAATTGGAATTGGTCAATCTGGCCGATCTCATGAACCCCCAACACAGCTGCTAAAATACATATAGATGTGGTGCAACATCTGTTTATACAGTTTATTGGCGGGACTTGTTCGAGTTAGGGTCTCATTGTTGCAGCCAATGCATATCCAGTGTTTTGAGCTGCTGTGACACGAGCAGAGCGGTCTTCCTCATGCTCTCATCAATCTGTATGAATATTGGAATGGATTTGCATGTATTTAGGCATTTTTACATGTATAAGAACTAAAAGTTATGTGTTTTTAACAATATTCCAAGTTTACCAAAACATGGCTGAAATTTTTTTTTGCTTTGTTAGTAATTTTTCTTACGTTTTTTATATCTGTTTTATTTATTATTTTCTGTTATTTAAGCTGCTTTGACCATGACATGTCCACACTTAATGGCAGCCTGATCTCACGAGAAAACGTAAGTATTTTACGTTTTGCCAGTATAGTGGCTAATTCGTACAAATTTGTACGAGATCAGTTGTACGAAACTGTACAATTTGAAAAAGGAGGCGTGGCACCTAACCCCACCCCTAAACCCAACTGTCATTAGGGGATGAGCAAATCATACTTAATCGAACAAATTAGATTGTACTAATTCATAAGTTACGAATTGCCGTGAGATTGTGTTGGTTATAAGAGACACATTTAAGGGATGATATACAGTATCCCTCATTTATTCTCATAAGGAGAGATCTCAACTTACAGGTAAGTATCATACTTAGGGGAAAATGTACTTTATGCATTATAAAGCTTGAAGCATTAGAATTGGTTCTCAGTATCTGCTGATCACCATGACAAGGAATCGGTACTCTGTATCGCTGCAAAAATCCTGATCAGAACATGCCTAATTTCATTCTGTAAATTCCTAATGAAATTTCTTCATAAACAAACATTTATTTAGAGCGTTTATTTATTTATTTATTTTTTTTGCATAAATAGCAAAAATGTGTTATGTTATCAGACATGTTTCTGTAGATTGTTTGACAACACAACCAGTGTTTTAACTTATGAAGTTAAGAAATCAATATTTAAAATAATAATAATAATAATATCATCAAATAAAACCAGAGAAACTTTTTTTCCAGATGATTTCTGTGACATTTATTCTATAGCTATATTTTAAGGATGGTTATATAAAGCAAAAAAAGCTTTATAAAGCTTTAAAAGCTTCACATTCAAATTATTTGCTTATTAATACAAACATGTAGCATGTAACATGCATAAAATACTGTCTTTTAACCTAAAACATTGTATCATTTGTTAAATCAAAGAGATTAAAAACGAAGGTCAAACCAATGTTTTATGTCTTTAGTTTGTTGGTCAATAGTTATTAGGAAAAAGTTGGCAGAATTGGTAGTCACTATACTATAGGGTGCTTTATAACACAGGAAATGTAAAAAAATATTATAGTTTTTTCCCAGTTTGTCCTGTTACTCCACGTCACACTGTTTAATGGTGCAGTGTGTTTGTCTGTTTTGAATGAAGTCATTTGACGTGGAATGTCCTGCATGTTAAGATCTGCTCCTGGGCTCCATTTCACAAAGGTTTTACACTCGATATCAGCAGCTCCAATGTAAGTACATAGAACTGTAATTCTGTAAAACTGTACCTATATTGGCACCATCTATTACACTAAAGCAGTAGAGAATCATTTAAAAGCATAACTGCTTCATAAATAAATATTTAGAAACCATGTTTCCTTCCATCTTTTTTTTTTAATTGAAATATTTTAAAAGATGAACAATAAGCTTTCTATTGATGTGTGGTTTATTAAGTTCTTCGTAATCAATCATCACATTAGTAATAATAATAATTTAAAAAACTAAATCCAACTTATTATTCTAATGATATTTAAAATAAGTAATTTATTCTAAAAATCTGTATTTGGATTTAGCATTTGCTCAGCTTTCCTAGCTTACTTCAAGTATTAGAGAGTGAATAAATGATTAGAAAGGAACCTGTGAGTGAAGTTCTTTTTGATCTGTATGAAAGTAAGAGTTGTTTCCTCCAATTAGGTGGATATACATATGTTACATGAATCAAAATGCATGAATGATCAGATGGTCTTTTGCAACATGTGCCTGTTAAAATGGGTCATTTGTGTGTTATGTGAAACTGTGTAAATAATCAAACAACTAGTGGTCTCTGATTCATGAGGAAGATCACAAGTTAAAATCTGGATAATTATCTTTAATGTTTCGTATATTAAATATCAAAAACAATATAAAGCTCTCACACAACAACCATTGCATCATAAACTAAAGACAAGACACTAACACATAAAAATGAAAGGCATTTTCTATAATTGAAACTAATTGAAGATGAAGCACAAACTATTATACATCTTAAGAATATTGGTGTCTCCCTCAAAATAAAATAATTTTTAAAAATCCAAAAATATGTTTAATTTAATTAAAATATTTTCACAGTTACGATTTTAAACTCTATTACTCACAGTAGCAAAATGTAGCTCATAATTATAAACCGTTGCAGACTGTCAACATTT